GCTGGTGTGTTGATTTTTTGAATAGGGTGCTGGCAGATTAAGGGCCTCTCTATAGCTGCTGCCAGCCCCTAATCTGCCCATAGGCCCTATATACCGCCTCCTCATGTGCTGCCAGGTCCAGAGTCTCTCATGGGTCCCTGTACGGCCTCCCATTGCTGCTGTCTCCATCGCCACACTCTGCATGTGCCACTTTCAGGTCTCCTCACACTGCTGGTGTGTGTTAGAATTTTTTGTCATAGGGTGCTGGCAGATTATGGGCTCCCATTGCTGCTGCCAGGGGCCCCTATACCGACTCCTCATGCTGTGACGTTGCAACAAGGTGGAATTCAACCCTACATATGTTAGACCGCCTTTACGAACAGCAAAAGGCCATCACAGATTTCCTGATGTTAAAAGCAGATAAAGGTACTCCCTGTGTAACTTAGATGTCAGCCATTGGCAGCTCATGCGTGACACCTGCGCTTGCTCAGGCCCTTTGAGGAGGCCACGCTATTCGTGAGTCGGCAGGACTATGGGATGAACGACGTCATTCCTCTGTTGCACGTCCTGGAACAAATGCTGTTAACAATGGCTGGTCAGGGTGCGGTAGACGTGGCGCACAGATCTCAACGCCACATGCCCCTGTGGGGGCAGGACAGGAAGAAGAGGAGGAGGTAGAGGAGGACATTGGTGCTCAGGAATTATTGAGTGAAATGGGTGGTTTTTCCACTCAGCGGACAGGAGTGGAGGGAGCAGAGCATCTGGTAGAGGAGGAGGAAGAGGAGACAGAGGACCTAGACGCACCGTGGCAGTATGCTGTGGAGATGGAGGCAGGGAGTCCCTCGCATTCCTTGGCACAAATGGCCCATAGCATGCTCGGTTGCTTGCGTAGCGACAGCCGAATAATAACCATCAGACAGAGGGATGACTTTTGGCTGTCCACCTTGTTGGACCCTCGCTACCGTTCAAAAATGGTGGCCTTTTTCACACCTGCTGAGAGGGAGGCCAAAATAACGTACTATAAAAAAACCACCTATGTAGTCAGCTGGTCTCTGCCTGTCTGCGCCAACGTCCATCCTCAGACACTGTGGGCCCTGTGCGCTCGCGTTCCGCTGCCATGGCAGCAGGGGAGGGGTGGGGTGGTAGGAGCAGTGGCAGCTCCACCAGCAGCGGCTGCCTCAGTCTGCAGTCGATGATGAGTAGCTTTCTTCACCAGCGCAGTGAGGAAACTACTAACCAGCCGCGCAGCAGCAGCAGCAGCATCAGGTCAGGTGGACCTGGAGCAGGACCTCAAACAACAGGCTTAGGCCTACTTGGACAGCACCCTGCCAACCGAGGTAGACAATCCCCTTGACTACTGGGCAACGAAACTTGACCTTTGGCCCCAACTAGCTGAATTTGCCCTTGAAAGGCTGTCATGCCCGGCCAGTAGCGTGGCATCGGAGCGCGTGTTTAGTGCGGCAGGAGGTATTGCAACTCCGCGGAGGACACGACTGTCCACCCAAAGTGTGGAGAGACTCACGTTTGTGAAAATGAATCAGGCGTGGATTAGTCTGGATTTCAAACCACCAGTTCCTGACACAACTGACTAAATCCGCCATGAATCATGCCCCAAACATGTGCCACTTTCAGGTCTCCTCACACTGCTGGTGTGTTCCATTTTTTGTCATAGGGTGCTGGCAGATTACGGGCCTCCCATAGCTGCTGCCAGGCCCCTAATCTGCCATGGGCCCCTATACCGCCTCCTCATGCTGCTGCCAAGTCCAGAGTCTCTCATGGGTCCCTGTACGGCCTCCCATTGCTGCTGTCTCCATCGCCACACTCTGCCATGTGCCACTTTCAGGTCTCCTCACACTGCTGGTGTGTTCCATTTTTTGTCATAGGGTGCTGGCAGATTACGGGCCTCCCATAGCTGCTGCCAGGCCCCTAATCTGCCATGGGGCCCCCTATACCGCCTCCTCATGCTGCTGCCAGGTCCAGAGTCTCTCATGGGTCCCTGTACGGCCTCCATTGCTGCTGTCTCCATCGCCATGGGCCCCCACACTCTGCCATGTGCCACTTTCAGGTCTCCTCACACTGCTGGTGTGTTCCATTTTTTGTCATAGGGTGCTGGCAGATTACGGGCCTCCCATAGCTGCTGCCAGGCCCCTAATCTGCCATGGGCCCCCGTACCGACTCCTCATGCTGCTGCCAGGCCCGTAATCTGTCATGGGCCCCTGTTGTCGCTTGTTGGCATATTCCGCTCGTTCAGATGCTCCTTCTCCTGCTACTCCTCTTCACTCTGGATTCCGTCAGCAGTCTTTCTTGGAATCCGTTTCCAAGAGACAACAGTTTGCGAGCACGCACCGGGTGCAGAAGCTGAACGTCCTCCTGTCCAATTGCTGCTGCCAGGCTCGTAATCTGTCATGGGCCCCTGTACCGCCTCCTCATGCTGCTGCCAGGTCAGAGTGTGTCTCATGGGCCCCCGTACCGACTCCTCATGCTGCTGCCAGGCCCATCGTAATCTGTCATGGGCCCCTGTTCACCGTCTCCTCCTCCCATGCTGCTGCCAGGTCCATTTTTTGTGTCATGGGTGCCCTGTACGGGCCTCCCATTGCTGCTGCCAGGCCCGTAATCTGCCATGGGCCCCCGTACCGACTCCTCATGCTGCTGCCAGGCCCGTAATCTGTCATGGGCCCTGTTGTCGCTTGTTGGCATATTCCGCTCGTTCAGATGCTCCTTCTCCTGCTACTCCTCTTCACGGATTCCGTCAGCAGTCTTTCTTGGAATCCGTTTCCAAGAGACAACAGTTTGCGAGCACGCACCCGACGGTGCAGAAGCTGAATGTCCTCCTGTCCAAGTTGCTGCTGCCAGGCTCGTAATCTGTCATGCGCCCCTGTACCACCTCCTCATGCTGCTGCCAGGTCCAGAGTGTGTCATGGGCCCCCGTACCGACTCCTCATGCTGCTGCCAGGCCCGTAATCTGTCATGGGCCCCTGTACCGCCTCCCCATGCTGCTGCCAGGTCCAGTGTGTGTCATGGGTCCCTGTACGGCCTCCCATTGCTGCTGCCAGGCCCGTAATCTGCCATGGGCCCCCCGTACCGACTCCTCATGCTGCTGGCAGGCCCGTAATCTGTCATGGGCCCCCTGTACCGCCTCCTCATGCTGCTGCCAGGTCCAGAGTGTGTCATGGGTCCCTGTACGGCCTCCCATTGCTGCTGTCTCTATCGCCACACTCTGCCATGTGCCACTTTCAGGTCTCCTCACACTGCTGGTGGTTTCCATTTTTGTCATAGGGTGCTGTATGGCCTCCCATTGCTGCTGCCTCCACCGCCACACTGTGGCTCCACACTCTGGTTTTGGCCCCGTGACTGCCCAAATGAGTGAAGTGTGCGGTGATTCTAAGATCGACGGCACTCATCTGCATGTCATACTGACTGACAGTATTATTTCTCTTCCCCAGCAGACTCCAAGGGCATTTAAATTAAAGGTACAGTGTTCTGAACTAATATTAAGTCTCTCTGAAGCCTAGAAACACCCTTTTTTAAGTTAAATTCACAGCGAATATATTCGACTCGAATCAAATTTTTCCACGAATTCGCCGAATCAGTCGAATCGAATTTTTGAATACTTCGCTCATCTCTAATTATGGCTAACACCTCATGAAAACCCCAAATCCACAATCTCAGAAAATTAGAATATTGTGAAAAGGTGCAATATTCTAGGCTCAAAGTGTGCCACTCTACTCAGCTAATTAAGCCATAACACCTGCAAAGGGTTCCTGAGCCTTTAAATGGTCTCTCAGTCTGGTTCAGTAGGAATCACAATCATGGGAAAGACTGCTGACCTGACAGTTGTGCAGAAAACCATCATTGACACCCTCCATAAGGAGGGAAAGCCTCAAAAGGTAATTGCAAAAGAAGGTGGATGTTCCCAAAGTGCTGTATCAAAGCACATTAATAGAAAGTTATGTGGAAGAAAAAGGTGCACAAGCAGCAGTGATGACCGCAGCCTGGAGAGGATTGTCAGGGAAAAGGCCATTCAAAAGTGTTGGGGACTTTCACAAGGAGTGGACTGAGGCTGGAGTCAGTGCATCAAGAGCCACCACACACAGACGGATCCTGGACATGGGCTTCAAATGTCGTATTCCTCTTGTCAAGCCGCTCCCAAACAACAAAACACCTCAGAAGCGTCTTACCTGGGCTAAAGAAAAACAGACCTGGTCTGTTGCTCAGTGGTCCAAAGTCCTCTATTCTAATGAGAGCAAATTTTGCATCTCATTTGGAAACCAAGGACCCAGAGTATGGAGGACGAATGGAGAGGCACACACTGCCAGATGCTTGAAGTCCAGTGTGAATTTTCCACAGTCTGTGTTGATTTAGGGAGCCATGTTCTCTGCTGGTGTTGGTTCACTGTGCTTCATTAAGTCCAGGGTCAACGCAGCCGTCTACCAGGAGATTTTGGAGCACTTCATGCTTCCTTCCGCAGACGAGCTTTATGGGGATGCTGACTACATTTTCCAGCAGGACTTGGCACCTGCCCACACTGCCAAAAGCACCAAACCTGGTTCAATGACTGTGGATCACTGTGCTTGATTGGCCAGCAAACTCGCCTGACCTTAACCCCATAGAGAATCTATGGGGCATTGCCAAGAGAAAGATGAGAGACATGAGACCGAACAAGAGCTGAAGGCCGCTATTGAAGCATCCTGGTCTTCCATAACACCTCAGCAGTGCCACAGGCTGATAGCTTCCATGCCACGCCACATTGAGGCAGTAATTGCTGCAAAAAGGGCCCAAACCAAGTACTGAGTACATATGCATGCCTATACTTTTCAGATTGTTCTATGTACAATCCTTGTTTTATTGATTGCATGTAATATACAAATTTTCTGAGATTGTGAATTTGGGGTTTTCATGAGCTGTAAGCCACAATCATCACAATTATGACAAATCACGGCTTGAACTATCTTGCTTTGCATGCAATGAGTCTATCTCTTATATTAGTTTCACTTTTAAGTTGCATTACTGAAATAAATGAACTTTTGAACGATATTCTAATTTTTCAAGTTTCACCTGTATATTGATGGGTTTGTGTGAAAGTTATAGCGTCCACAAACTATGGTATATAAATCTGAAAATTTATAATTTCTGGTGTACTGATGGCCAATCTCATTTCTTGAGGCCCTTAAAATGCTAGGGCAGTACAAATGTCACCCCAAATGAACTATTTTTGGAAAGTAGGCAGTCTGAGGTATTTAGTAAGAGGCATGGCAAGTTTTTTATAATAATTGTTTGTCACAATTTTTTGGAAAATAAAAAATAAAATTTATTTTTTCAAATTTTTTTTAAACATACTGTGTCCAGCGCAGTACAGTATCATCATATGACTGGTGTGATGCCGATCAGGAACACTGACTGGTGACAGTATGTTAAAAAAATATAATAAATAATTTTATATTCAATTGTTAAATATTTTTTAACATACTGTACTTTCCTCAGAGTAGTTCTGTGTCACCGTAGTAACACTGTACTACTCTGGGGGGGGGGGGGGGTGATAAGGGATTTTAACACTTTGATTGCTGTTACAATGGTGATTATGGAGATCCACTGTTGGATTTACATATTCTTTAAAGTTATCCCTTAGTATTTATCTCCAGCCTGCTCATACTACTGCTGGAATCATATACTGTCTAGGTAACCACTGTATGAACCTTGACCTTATAGGTTGTATAAGTTGCTACCAAAATGTCAATAATGGATGAACAGAAATGTTATTCCTTCTGTTTTGTTGTCTTCTTATATTCTTTGTACCTTAAAAATATCAATAAAAAATTCTTGAAATGAAAAATGACATAAATAAAAACATTTTTTATACTTCTTTTCAGATCACACAATTGTGCAATAATGCAGGTTGTGAGGTCGAGACAATGGAAAAAGTGAGCATGCTGCCCCCCACCCCTGATGTAACATTAGGGGTTACCTTAGCAGGGGGAATCTTAAGGCTTCTACCCAATATGGCACTTTTTCACCATGCTGAGGAGACTCATCACCACATCTTGTTCACCAAAAGGTATGTGGAGGTTTGTGGAGGAGAAAATTGTTGAATGCCACTTGGAATAGAACTGTGCAACAACCCCCAAAAGAAAGTATTACAAAATAAACAAAGACCATTCCTAACTCTTTCATAGAAGATGTTGAATTGAAAACACAGACATTTTAATGTAGAGAAAATACACAAAACAAATACAAATTGTAAGTCATATCAAAAAACAGTTACACTGCCTGATAAAATGTACCTGACAAATGTCTAGTGATTTATGGGACATTTCTGGCAGTACATAAATATAAACATCACCTGTGGCATCTTGAGTAACATAATAAAATTAGCCATACCGTGCTTGATCTTATCCACTTCAATTTGGTTCTATTTAGGAAAACTGGAACACAAATGAGCCAGACAGAGTTACTAATTTGTTCAAAGAGGAGTCACATGACAGGAAAGAGTCACTTCATATATAACAAAAAGCAGGATTGTGCTTTATTTGCCAAATCAGAGAGAGCCAATGCCAATCCCAAACCAATGGTCACTATTCTGTATTCTTGCTCTTGGACCTCTCCTCTGCCTTTGACACAGCTGACCACCCCCTCCTTCTCAAAAAACTCTATCTACTTGGTCTCCATGACTGTACTCTCTGTTGGTTCGAATCTTACCTATCTCACCGCACCTTCAGTGTCATTTACAACTGTACTTCCGCCTCTCCTATGCTTCTTACTGGCAGGGTCCCCCTAGGTTCTGTCCTTGGATCTCTCCTATTCTCAGTCTACACTTCTTCCTTGGGTCAGCTGATAGCTTCCCATGGTTTCCAATACAATTTCTATGCTGATGATGTACAAATCTATCTCTCTACTCCTCAGCTCACCCCATCAGTTTCCTCACGTACCACCGATTTACTAACAGACATATCAGACTGGATGTCACACCACTTCCTAAAACTCAGTCTGTCCAAAACTGAGCTCATAATATTTCCTCCCCTACGTGCCTCTTCCCCTGATTTCTCAGTTAGGATCAATAGCACAGCTATCAACCCATCCCTGCATGCCAGGGTGCTAGGTGTAACCCTGGATTCTTACCTATCCTTTCAGGCCCACATCCATCCAATACCTGTCCAAAAATCATGCCACCTCATCCTCCGCAACATCTCCAGAATATGCCCCTTTTTAACCAATGATGCACAAAGCTCCTAATTCACTCCCTGGTCGTCTCTTGCCTCTACTACTCCAATTCCCTCCTCATTGGCTTACCTTTACATAGGCTATCCCCCCTCCAGTCCATCATGAATACTTCTGCCAGGCTCATCCACCTTACCAACCATTCAGTGTCTGCTACCCCTCTCTGTCAATCCCTCCACTGGCTTCCACTTGACCAATGAATAAAATTCAAAATACTAATAACAACTTACAAAGCCATCCACAACTATGCCCCCAGCTACATCACCAACCTGATCTCAAAATATCAACCAAACTGCTCTCTTCGATCCTCCAAAGACCTTCTGCTCTCTAGTTCCCATGTCACCTCCTCCCATGCTTACCTCCAGTCAAGGACTTCTCCCATTCTATGGAACTCCCTACCCCAACCCTTCCGGCTGTCTCCTAATCTATCCACCTTTAGACGATCCCTGAAAACCTTTCTCTTTAAAGAAGCCTATTCTGCTTCTACCTAGTAAACCGCTATTTATTTCCTCCATCAGCTCATCCCCCCCACAGTTATTACCTTTGGTATCAATCACCCCTCCTCCTAGATTGTAAGCTCTAACGAGCTCCGCTTATACTAAATTGTATAGTGACTGTAATGTCTACCTTCATTTTGTAAAGCGCTGCACAAACTGTTGGCGCTCTATAAATCCTGAATAATAATAATAATTTAAAAAAAAAAGTTTTAAATATTGAAATGCATGGCAATATCAGTCATTTTTCAAAGATAAAATGTGGTACAAGGAAATGACACAACAAAATATGCACGTTTTAATCAGCAAAACACAGAAAAAGTAGATGATGCATATATGGTAATTAGAGATGAGCGAATTATTCAAAAATTCGATTCGGCTGATTCGCCGAATTTGCGGGGAGAAATTCGATTCGATGCTTTTTTTATTCGCCGCAAATTTAACTTATTTAAAGGGTTTCTAGGCTTCAGAGAGCTTTATATTAGTGCAGAACACTGTACCTTTAATTTAAATGCCCTTGGAGTCTGCTGGGGAAGAGAAATAATACTGTCAGTCAGTATGACATGCAGATGAGTGCCGTCGATCTTAGAATCACCGCACACTTCACTCATTTGGGCAGTCACGGGGCACGACGAATAAGAAGAAGAAGAAGAATGAAAAGAAGAAGAAGAAGAAGAATGGAAAAGAAGAATGAAAAGAAGAAGAAGAAGAATGAAAAGAAGAAGAAGAAGAATGAAAAGAAGAATGAAAGAAGAATGAAGAAGAATGAAAAGAAGAAGAATGAAAAA